GTTAAAAAATACCAATCTATGGGGAAATTCTGTATTAATTACTAAAACAATTATATCTCTTGTGGCTAATCGATGGTCGTTTACATTTAACCAATGTGTTGATAGTAGTGTATTTCCTGATCTTATGAAGTCTAGTAAAATTATTCCCTTATTCAAATCTGGTAGTACATCTGACCCAACTAACTTTAGACCTATCTCAGTACTACCAGTATTTAGCAAATTAAAAAAAAAAAGCGGTTTTATTAATAAAAATAATTTATTACACAATAGATAATTTAGTTTTACAAGGGGTCGCTTCACAACTGTGTTGAGCTAGTAAAACATATATTTGATGCCTGGGAGGATGCCCACGATTCTCTAGGTATCTTTTGCGCTTTATCTAAGGCTTTTCATTGTGTTGTTCATGAAACGCTGATCAGGAAATTACAGCACTATGGTATAAAAATAAAGCACTGGAACTTTTTATTTTATTTTTATTTTATTTTATTTTATTGAATCTCCAACAAGAAATACACCTTACATGCTAGTTATAAAGCCAATAAAATTTTAAGTCTTGTGCTTCCTCAATTATAGGAGACCACAACATGGACATTACAAAAAAAGATTAAAGACGGTGGCCACAAATGGCCTTTGTAAATAAGAAAAAAAAAAACAATCAAAGAATTATAACAATCAATTGTGCAAAAAATTGTAGATTATAAATTGCAAATTAGCAGCAGTCAAAATTCAAAATTTAAATGGTAAGGAGGTACGTCAACAATCACACAGTGTTCAATATATGAGTGCGAACATTTTTTTTAAATTTACCCAGACTATTAGAAAAGATGTCTATGTCCTCCGAAGCAACTGAAATGGTGTCATATTCGCGAGTCATCCTAGCAATTGGTGCTTGCTTCCCTAAATTCGTCCGGGCTCGTGGGACCTTGAATAGCGGGCGAGGGTAGCGTGGGATTCTAGTTGGAACACCTATACCGATCTTACTGAGGAGGTCTGGACAGTCAATGTAGTTATGGAACAGTTTGTATAAGAATACTAGATCAAAGATAGTACGACGGTCCCTAAGAGATATAAGGTTGAAGTGCGTTAGTTTATCCTCATAAGTCCTTAAGTTCCTAACCCCAAAACGGTAAGCTAGATGTCGGACTAGTCTCTTTTGGATTTGTTCTATTTTATTTATGTGAACTTGGTACATTGGGTTCCATACCGTGCTGCAATATTCCAAATGACTTCGTACATAGCTATTGTATAAAATGATCATGGTAGATGGCTTTTTAAATTCTTTCGAAGAACGTAGTACAAAACCCAAGGCTCGATATGCTGAGTTAGTTATCGTATCATAATGATGTATAAAGTTAAGTTGACTGTCCAAATGTATTCCTAAGTCTCTGATAGTGGTTACTTCTTTTAATTTGTCTCCTCGAATGTTGTACTCAGAAGGGATTTTGTTGCGTTTTCTGGGGAATTTAATGTGAAACTTCTTGTTTCATATCTATATAATAGGATTCAAAAAGTTGATATTAATGGTGAGCGGTCTCCAGGTTATGTGGTAGAAATGGGCGTTCCACAAGGTTCTATTCTCGGCCCTTTTTTGTTTTTAGTATATATAAACGGCTTACCTCACATTGTCAAGGACAAACTCGAGATTGTGTTGTTTGCAGATGATACATCACTGTTATTTAGACTAAAACGGACACTTCCTAATTTCGCAGGCGTAAACAGCGCCATTTCAAAAGTATTTCATTGGTTTGACGTCAACAATTTGCTTTTAAATCACAACTACACAAAAAACTAAGTGTATACGTTTCACTATGCCAAACGTCAAGCCAGTGAAAACTACTATGATGATTAAGGTGTCGGAAATGTTATATGGGCTAGGGTGTTTTTTATTAAAAAATAAAACTATTTTTCATGGTTCACTTCATTTTCTCTTTTATTCGATTTTTTTCTTAATCTTGTTTTCTCTTTGTCTTTTTACCTTTTAGTCCTTAACAACGGACATACTGGCACACATCAAACCAATATTGTGGTATATTTAATAATGCCATTGTATCTATCTGTGAATTGCAAAAGAGTGGCCAGCCCTTTCTTCTCATAAGTCTCAACCCCTTGGAAACGGGCTGTTGTAGATCGGCACAGGCATATCATAGATTTTGTATAGATTTAATTTTTATTTAATTTATTGGCTTACTATTTGACAAAACAGAGATTGTTGCTTTTGTGTGTGTTGATCTATGACTTAAGTCTACATAAAAGACGACTTCAGACAATTTTTCCTTTCGATTTTAACAAATTTCGTTTTTTTTAGCGAAGTTTTTGTTTGGATAATGTGGCGGAGCGAACGGACACGAAATCTGTAATATTACCTTCCTAAAGCTTGTACGAGTCTAAACGATCATGTCGATAATGGTTTTTTAAGTATTCAATCCAATTTTGTAGGAAAACAATAACAAAACATGAAAAAGCTACTCCGAACACATAAATAAATGGAATACAATTAGAAAACCCTTCTAGTTTGAAAGAATAAAAAAATTTGAGTTTATAAATAAACTTAAAAATTCCTAGGAAATGAGACCCAATAATACCATAATAAAAAATCATTATAGGTGGACTTTTATGTTTTCTAATAAAATGTCTGACATTTTCCCTAAGGCGAACGGTAACTCCAGATTCATCAAGCACATCATGTACCTAACGATGTCTTTAGAATTCTAGAATTGGTGCATTGTGAAATTACCCTGTTTGAATTTCGAATTATTTGCAATACTATTAATTTGTAAGTTAATATCTTACCATAATTGCCAATTTCAAACTCCCGACACATAAAAGAGACTCATACAAAACTTTGCGTTGACACACTTCCAAAACATTCAACCTATTTTTGTATAAACTACTTTATAAAAATAATAACAAAATATTTTGTTATCTCATTAGTCCTAAAATGTGAACGTAGTGTTTGTAAACTCTTTGTAATGTGAGTATACCAAAACAACATCTAATGTCATAAATTATGGCGTAAAATATTGAACTGAGCCTAATATTGTTCTCCATCATTACTTTATGAGTAGATTTGACTAAAAGTGACTACAAACCAGCTTTATTTTTTTATGGATCCAAATAAAAGTGACGTTATTTAGTTACAAGGAAATTGATTGAAGACGATAAAGATGATGATTTCATGTTTCATCATATTAATGAAGCTCATTTTATGATTGTTTAAGTTCGGTAAGTATTTCATAAGCGCGTGATGTATTTTCAAACTCAATTCCGTTTCCCCAGTTGAAACTTGTGGTATTCCTTACATTATTTTCACTCAACCTATCACTTTTCTTCATCGTAATTTTCTTTCTTACTTTTTCCCTGCTGAAAACGAGGTTTCGACAACAATCCAAAGGAGGTTTAGCGTCAGACCAGCGTCCATTAATAAAAGTCCCTTAAAACCATTTGAATGCTACAGATTACGTCGACCCTAAAATAAAATTGGAAAAGGGACAATAAGATGGTGATGATACATATTCAAAGGTGATCAAACGAATAAACTCATTTATCTTGGGTTTTAAAGCTTTTGTTTATAACGAGATAAGTACCTACGTGTATTAACTAAATTTAAAAAAAAAACTGCGTACCTACAGACAAGACACGCGATCAAAATAAGAGAACCATATAACGACCTATGTTAATAATCGTTAGTATTTAAGTAAACACGAGTACACTTAGTCGTCCTCAGTTAACCGCGAGATCTCTTCCAGTGAACTACTTCATAGTTAAACTTATTATTATATTTTTTCTTATACTTTGCACAAATAACTAAAAGTATTTTATTAAGTGGTGCTTTTACGTAGTTTTTAAACGATTTTGCGTAGTTTTTGAAAAGGTAAAGAAATTATTATAGATATTTTTCATACATAAAGTGTGTCATTGAAATTCAATGGATTTTATATTGTGTAGCTGAGTAATAGGTAAATGTAATAAAAACTAATTAAGTCTAATGTCAGTGTCAAATAATTCTGTGGAATCATTTTATTTTAATTATATAGTAGTTCTTTTTTTTAATAATATTCTACCACATTAACACAAAGCCATCCAGTCCCAAACTAAGCAGAGCTTGTACTATCGGTACTAGACAACTGATATAAATATATATATACTTTTTTTGTATTATACATAGAAACACCCAGACCAAATCACACATTAAATGTTCATTTACAACAAATGTACACAACAAATGTTTGACTTGAATGCGGGAATTGAACCCGCGACTTTCCGACGCGAGCAGTCCTGTACACAAAATACTACGCCATCCGGTTGTCTTTGTTGTGAAGTACCTATACTGTTTCGTACTAAAAGATATTACACATTAAAATATTGCCACTATAGTACCTTTTATATAGGAAACCCAAACTATTTTTGCATAAACTGCAGAATTTTAAAACTTAATTATGACTTAAAATAACGCACAACAAATATTACTATTTTTCATCTGTTCTTACAATTATCTGAATTTCTCGAAAAATAGTTAAATATGCGTACCTAAGTGAAAACTAATCGTGTCATATATATTCACTTACATTATTTAATCTATGTTTTAACAGCAAATTAAGACTCGCACTAAATAAATTAAATCGAACTAATAAAAATCTTTAATTTATCTATTATCTATACCTGTACCAAAGAAGCACACATTATGTGCTGTGAAGTTTGTTACGTTGTGAGTTTAATTATTTAATGCACTAGAAAGATAAAACAATAAATCCATAAATCTGTACATTCAAAAGTTAGCGCAGTTATGTTCCACATGAGCCCAACCAAAACAATATATTTTAACCAATAGGAGAATTCACCGCTATTGCTTGGCAATGTTGTCATTGGTTAACAAAAATTGCTCTGTGGCGCCTCTCCGACCTTATAAATATCGGCGCGATCTAAAACGAATCCTCTTTTCCACAGTGTTAGTTCAAGGGGAGTCTTACGGGTTATTTTTGTGACCTAACTCTAAATTCAGAATGCCGGAGACCTCAAAAATGAATGGATACGCAAAAACAAATGGACACAGTTATGATATGGAAGATGGATCACTATTTTTGTTTACGTCGGAATCTGTCGGCGAGGGTCATCCAGGTTAGTTAAATAAAATAACCAATGCAGGGAATACTTCTGAAAAATGGCCGCCTCAGCATGTGCGCAGATAATACCAATGTACAAAGTTAACATTGATCTTGTTTATATTGCTTTTGTAATAGCTTAATAGAACTTCAAGAAGTACCACAATACTCATACACTTGTTCCGACTTAATCAATAACAATGTTTTGTTACATCATGAGTGTAAGTGGCGGCATATACGCCAATTTACATTTGTCAAAATATACAAAACACGTGGTCTTAATCAAACAACGTAGATCTTCTTAAATTCGTTATGTTTTTACGTTTTCTTTTATTTTATTACAGATAAAATGTGCGATCAAATTAGCGATGCTATCTTAGACGCACATTTAAGAGAGGACCCTAACGCAAAAGTAGCCTGTGGTGAGCATTACAACTATTGCACATGGATTTCATTATTCTTTTATAAATTTGCTAATTGTCAACATGTTCTGTACAGAAACCGTGACTAAAACCGGGATGGTATTATTATGCGGTGAAATCACATCTAAAGCCAATGTTGACTATCAGAAGGTGGTCAGAGACACAGTAAAACACATTGGATATGATGACTCATCCAAAGGTATGTACACAATATCCTTGTATTTCTACAATTTATTTAAGGTATACTTGGCTGTTGGCCAGTACAAAGTATCTCATATTAATGACTATAAATTATTCTGTATACACTAGGTTTTGATTGGCGTACACTAAATTTATTAGTGGCTATAGAACAACAAAGCCCAGATATAGCTAACGGAGTACACGCAGGCAGAACAGAACTAGATACAGGGGCTGGAGATCAGGTATAACAATATACAAATTTGCTGCACGAAGATGGGTCCATTGGCTGTCTATAAACTATTGGGTCTTACATCTGCATGATGTATCTTTATAAGTCATTAATATCATTATGAAACAGAAATATCAATAATGAATTGAGCCAGAGTGCTATTTGATTACATTCGATAGAAATAAGACCAAAATCTTAGTTGTAAGTGGATAACTTAATATCATTAGCATTAATATGAGCATGTTGGGAAATAGGATTTGATTACAAGACGTGCAGTGTGATGCTTGCGCTGGATCAACAGTCTCCAGATATCGCAGCCGGAGTGCATGAGAACAGAAATGAGGATGAAGTAGGGGCAGGTGACCAGGTATGCTAACTTTTATGGTGGTTTTGTGATAAATACATGATTTTATTACTTTATATATTATTTACTGCAGATCCACAGTCCATTGAACTTAATTAAATGCTGGGTAACTTGTTCATGTTTGCATGTCACATGGCATGTGTCAACACATTAAAAATACTATTTATCATTACATATTTTGCTTCCTAGTCCTACTCATTTATCAACTTATAAACATAAAGGCACAGATAACCATTATTAGTATAGATTGGCATTACTAATCATTTGATTGTTTCAATGTAATCAACTCCTCATCTTTTTTTAGGTATTTTCCTTTTTTTTGTTCCTAAAAATTAGGTATAAAATATGAATCATTTGTTGATGAATGATGATAGTTCCAAATTTAACCACAAATCAGTTATTTTTAAATATTTGGTGTTATCAAATATTGGTCCATGACCAATATAACTTGAATTGTGACTGCATAGGCTTTCTGTCCCATGACAGTTCAATACATAAAGCCATTTCTGTATAATTGTAAAAATTGCTTTCTGTACTTCTATTCTTCTTAGCCCAAGTTAGCTTAAATAAGAGTTAAAAGATTTGCCTTGAATGAACGCGTGGAATTTAAAAAGGGCTGCCTTAGTGGTGTAGTATGGTATGTGACTGCAGTCCATGAGGCCTCAGGTTTGATGCCCAGATTGTGCAAAATTTTCTAGGGTTTTTCTGAGCTAAAAGTAGCCTAAGTTACTCTTTATATAGACAGCTACCTGATAGTAAAATATTATTAAAATCGATCCAGCCATTTTGGATATTACCTGTAACAAACAGACAGACAGACAAAAAATATTTAAACTGCATTTTAGGCATAGGTATCGTGCAGACTTAATTGTATTTATTTGTATAGATATAAAGACACTGCATAAACTTATACATAAAACACTATTATAATGCATACAATACATGTTTTATGAAATATCTAAATAGGCACACCATATCTATTTACATATAAATTAAAGGAAAGAAAGTGTAATATATGATGTAAATTGAATAAAAAGTATGTTGTGTTAGTAGATATATAAGTATACTTTTAATTTTCAGGGGCTTATGTTTGGATATGCCACAGACGAAACTGAAGAATGCATGCCACTGACAGTTGTTCTGGCTCATAAACTGAATCAAAAAATTGCAGATCTCCGACGAAATGGCGAGTTCTGGTGGGCACGTCCAGATTCCAAGACCCAGGTAACTTGCAATATATATACATACATTAAATAATACCAAATTTATATATTACCAGCTGGTACCCGCGACTTCGTTTGTAATTTGAAAAGAGCTGTCTTAGTGGGTTCGATGCCCGGACCGGGCAAAATTTTAAAGGGTTTTTCTGAGAGGAAAAATAGCCTAAGTTATTCCTGATGTAGACAGCTACCTGGTAGTAAAATATTATCGAAAGCAGTACAGCTTAGATTACCCGGAACAAACACAGACAAAAATTTAAACTGGTTTTAAGACATAGGTATCGTGTAAGTAACTGTGTGAGCAAGAAAAAACCTATAATTTTGAAACATTACAAACAGACACTTCAATTTTATTTATTTGTATAGATTTGCGTGCTGATAAAGCCTGCCTATAATACTTTTTGTGTTATAAAACACTAGAATTAGTTTCAATAATTGATTATATTGCATAAACCGTATTACTCATATAATTGAATTCTTTACAGTTGTACTCAAACTATACATAAATACTCTTAAATATGTCATATTTTATTCTGGGATGTTTAATGGTATCGGCTGATGTAATCACTGTCAATGATATATCAATTGTTTGGTGACCGAGTGATAAAGCTGACACCAGTGTCAAGTGACATTTGTGCTGGGTCAAATTTTATGTTGACACAATATACTGCTTAGCAACAACAGACAATATGAACGTTAATTTCGTAAGTGTCTTCTGATGATTAATGAGAATAGGAAATCCTCGAGTAGCCCCTCATAATCATAAACACCGTATGAACAGAATTTTTTGATATATATATAACTAGCTGACCCGCGCAACTTCGTCTGCGTCTCTCAATAGTAATAAATTTTCTCCGTTTTTGAAACATTCTTCATTGGTGCTCCGGTCCTATTGGTCTTAGCGTGATGATATATAGCCTATAGCCTTCCTCGATAAATGGGCTATCTAACACTGAAAGAATTTTTGAAATCGGACCAGTAGTTCCTGAGATTAGCGCGTTCAAACAAACAAACAAACTCTTCAGCTTTATAATATTAGTATAGACTAGCTGACCTGCGCAACTTCGTCTGCGTCTCTCAATAGTAATAAATTTTCTCCGTTTTTGAAACATTCTTCATTGGTGCTCCGCTCCTATTGGTCTTAGCGTGATGATATATAGCCTATAGCCTTCCTCGATAAATGGGCTATCTAACACTGAAAGAATTTTTCAAATCGGACCAGTAGTTCCTGAGATTAGCGCGTTCAAACAAACAAACAAACAACCAAACAAACAAACTCTTCAGCTTTATAATATTAGATATGAAGTAATATCGTTCAGGGAGTATGAAATCAGTCAAAAGTTGGTTCACGATTTGTTTTCTGCTTTTTTTTTATCCAATCTACAAATATTTTAAACGAAAGTTGCCGTAAAATTGCGATTTAAACACTAATAAAATTGTAAGATTTCTAATGTTAAATGCCTAATGGAAATATTTCTGTAAATGGATAAAGTACAAATCTACCAATAATAAGTCCTTTTATGATAGGATTTTTCTGCCATAAATCCTGTTTTTTTTTATCGTTAGATACTGTTATGATTGGTGATTGTTGAATCACCAATCATAACAGTACCTAACTCATTTTTAAATTAGCAATTTATACATTGTCTACACAATTTCCGAGGTATAAATGTAAAAATTAAAATGCGTTTTAATGCCACAATCGATTGAATTCAATTCAAACAAATTTTACAGTTGTAACTGCTATGCCTCAGGAATAAAATAAAATATTTTAAATAAATGTCTAACACTTTGTGTTATACGACATACTACAACAAATACAATTTAAGCTAATAAATGGTAATATACTTATTATAACAGGAAAAATCGTGTTTTTCTACCTGCGATAGAGTACATACAATACTAAAGTAAGCCTTCTATTCAAATTTTGAAACAATATAGCTAAAACGGCTATAATTAGTCGAGCCTTCGATGAACTATGTGCTGTAGACGTTAGATCGACGATCGATCTATAAATTGGAGTCAATTAAACTGTGTTAAAACCAATTGTATGCACAATTTTGCTGTCTGACGCTGATGCGATGTTTCTATTATAGTGAATAGTGCATAAACTACTTTCGAAGTAAAGCAATAAATCGACATGTACAACATTTATATGATACCTTTAATTATTTCAAGTTTACACATACAAATAAAATTAATGGCACTAAACTAAGTTAGTATTTTTTTTAAAGTGTGATTGTGGTAAGTAATAAACTTAGAGCTGTAAGTTGATGAAATATCAAAACATTTCAACTTATATTTACATTTTCATTCATTGCTTACTCTATATATTATGAAATCTATGCACATAGGTGTTGTCTGGTGCTACAATATTAATTCGATTTTGAATAAAGAAAATATTGTATGCATATTTAGGGTGAGGGAACATAGCAATACTATGTGACCCGTTTAGGGGTGGAGGGGATCTTAAGATACTGCGCTTAGTCTCAGGGGCGGGAGCGGTTACGTCACGTAGTTAATATACTCAACTAAATAATTCAGTAAATAAAGGCAAATATGTACCCTTTTTTAAATTTATGTTTGCCAAAAATGATTTAAGACCATATTGATGAATTACTGCGAATGGTACACATACTTGACATATTCTGGGTCTCGTAGTATGTTTACGTTCCCTACGTGTATTTTTGAAAAATAGCAACAGGCTTTTTAATTTAGAGTGGTTATAAGGAAAGCTGAACAGTTTTTGTTTTGCTAAAGTATAGGTTTTAAACAATTGGTGTTTAAAGACAATGTGATTATTTTGATATTACAACTTCCAAGGAAATTATTTAAACAAGATTTGTTTTACTATAGTGTTATGAAATTAATTTAGTATAATAAAGTAAAAGCATTGTTTGCTGTAAATAAGGCATTGTAAAGGTGGTAATTTAACCTATAACTTTTTCATTAGTGCAGGCGTTAAGGTTGTTCGGATAAGAGAGATCCGGATATCTTAATGACAGTAGTTCCCGGATCCCTCCTATTGCAGATGCAGAGTGGCACACCGTGTGGTTTTAGTCGGTCCGATTCCGACACACCACCCCGCCGCTAACCCTGGTGAAGTGAAGGCCCGAGGGGGTTTCCACAAGTCAAAAAAAAAAAAACACCCAGCCAAGCCTTCCTCGACGCCTACAGGACCATTCTTGAGTCTAAATGCGGCAACTGGATCCCACAATCAGTAACTTGCCGTGCTCTCACGGCAAGTGTCTTTACTCTAGTCATGCCTCGGCACAAATAGGCAGGCTCAACCAGAGTGATACCAGGACCTCGCACCCGCGTTGACAATTCATATGTTGCTTTTTTACCGAATGAGTGACCTTACCAGGGCCCGAATCTCCCCTCCCTCTTCTTCTAGACTAGCTGGTACACGCGACTTCGTTCGCGTGTAATTTGAAAATAAATTTTCACTGCCTTAGTGGGTTCGATTCCCGGACCGGGCAAAATTTGGGTTGGTTTTTCTGATAGAAAAAATAACCTAAGTTAATTCGTAGATAGACAGCAGATAGACAGGCAGAAAATTCCAATGATTTTCGACTCAGAGTGATGATCTGAATACACTATTTCAGTATTCGTTATAACGTCGCTTACACTCTGTATAGGCTTTCCTGAAATAATGTAAAAACGACTAAGCTTAGTCATAGCTCAGGACCTGAGCCATGACTAAGCTTGGTTGCGAGCTGAGCCCCAGGTACAATATGTAGTACATTAATTACGCAATATGTAACGATGCATTTATACGGTTTCTTGGTTCATTAATTCGGTAATTATTGTTTGTTTTGCCGGTACAAGGTTAAGTAGCATTAGCATAGATTGTGTTTTTAAATGGATTTAGCCGATTAGCTCATTATGAAAAATTCACGATAACTGTCAATGGTGCTTAGTTTAAAGTAAATTGACGGGCCCGATTGTTAAGTGATCCCAATTGCTGAGCCATAGGTCTTGGATACGATTCCCGTGTAATGTCTGATTTATCTTAAATATATATTTGATAAACATACTTATAGTAATAATAGTAATGAATAAATCACTAACCACTAAACCAACAGGCAATAGGAATATATCCTATGTCGCGGGGGACTTTATAAACATACATGAAACTGACACAAAGTTCGCCCAGACTCAGAACTACAATTTGTGGATCACACAAAGTGTCGTCCCATGTGGGGATCGGACCCACAACACTGAGCGTAGTAGTAAGCGGCGTGACGACCACTAAGAACACTACGCCATTGTTAAATACTGCCATCTTTTCAAACATTAATCTATAATGTGATGACAACCTTAAAATAACCACTAACTAGCCCTAAAATTCCAAAATGTTTATCAAATTAGTACCCAATGTATACTAAATACTCATTAAATATAATAATAATATTTATTTCTCAAATAATACAAAACACGTTACACATTTACATTTTTATATCATGTAGAACATTATTGTTTTATTTGATTCAGATGTACTGATGCTGCTCCCCCAAACTAGGCGAGTGCCTGTATTTTAGGTATTTTAAATATTCTAAATTGTATAATAACGCAAAAAAAGAGACTAAGAAGTAAAATCATCATATACTTCTTAAACATTACAGTTTTCACATTTATAAAAAGGTTGTACACACAAATGTAATTATCATTTACACGCCTATTGCCCATGGAAGTGGAGTGGCACAAGTAATAAAAATTAATGGAACTAAAATAGAAAAAATAATGGTTATTCGAAATTAAAACCAAAAGCTGACGCTTTTAAATAAATTAACATACGGTTAAATAAGCCTGTAAGGTTGAAAGTCAAATAAATTTTATTCGACAGTAAAACGCGTCGTTGAAAAATCAATTTAATAAAATCACCTGACTAGCCATTGACTATATACAGCTATTTACTAAGATGAATGTAAATTAGTTTTGTAGATAGGTACTTCAGCAGTACAGTGATTTATGTAATGTCCAGGATATCGGTTCTTCTATTTTATGATTTTTACAAAAGTACTCTGCACAAAAAAGAAACATAATCATTACAGATAGATACTTGGCAGCGCCTAACATAAATTTTATACAAGAGATCGCCTGGCAATCGAAGTTTGAATGTCTTGTTTTGATATATTGACCAGTATAATAACTGTTATTGTATAGATGTACCACGACAGGTCATAGTATACTGGCCTCCTACTGTTTATGAAGCAGTTCTTACATGATTTTTAACTATGTTAAGAAATGTTAGCTTTCTGCACGTTTACCAAATATAAATATAGTTTCCAAATGTGATGTTTCCAAATTTGTTTAGAAACGGAGTAGATTTTTTATTCTCTTATGAATGCGAAGACTATCATCAGACCTGGGGTCCTGTATGGTTCTGAAAGTTAGCCCATTAAGAGAACGTATGAGTGACGACTGCACGTAGCCGAAATGCGAATGCTGGGGTGGATGTGTGGTGTAATTCGGATGGACAAGGTTAGGAATGACTATATACGAGGGAGTCTGAAAGTAGCGCCATTGAATGAAAGTTAAGAAGTAATAGGTTATCTTAGTATGGACATGTCATGCGGAAGGGTGTGGCCAAGAAGTGTTAGTTATGGTAATTGAAGGGTACAAGAGAAGAGAAGGCCAAGGAACAGGTGGATGGACTGTATGGGTGAGGATATGGCTAGGAAGGGGGAGTTAACCGTGAGATGAAAAATGAGAGTAGCATGGAAGAATTATACATGTGGCCTACAAATTTATGTACCTATTAGCTGGTACCCTTGACTTAGTTCGCGTTGAATTTAAAAAGCACTGCCTTAGTGGGTTCTATTCCCGGACCTGGCAAAAGTTTAAAGGGTTTCTCTGAGAGGAAAAATAGCCTAAGTTACTCCTTATAAAGATAGCTACCTGGTAGTAAAATATTATCAAAATCGATCCAGCCGTTTAGAAGATTACCCAGAACAAATGTACAGACAGACAAAAAAAAACTTGGTTGGTTTTAGGCATAGGTACCGTGCAAATAACCGTGTGAGCATGAAAAAAAAACCTATTATTTGTACATTACAAACACACTTCAATTTTATTTATTTCTATATATAAAGCACCCTACATTACTTATGACCCGACGGTATTTTGTTGCTTTTTTTTTACTAATTTCTTATGCAATTGATTTAAGGTGACGTGCGAGTACGTCTTCGCTGGAGGCGCAACAGTGCCACAGAGAGTACACACTGTCGTGGTTTCTCTTCAACATTCTGAAAAGGTAAGACGAATACTATGCAATAATATTTACAGCTTAAATATGTACATAAATAAAATTAGTTTCGTTTACACTAAACTATAGTCGACTAATATAATTTAAAGGCTAAATAGAGATGTGGAATGAGAATCGAATTTCTTAGGAATAAAAGGATTAGTTTGAACACTTTTGCCATAAAACACGCATAACTAAGAACTAGTTCTATATAATAAAATACTGCTCTGTGCTCTTAGTTAACCCAGATACCAATCATCATCAACAGCCTTTAATAGTCCACTGCTGGACATAAGCCTCTCCTTAGAAAAAAGGTTTTGGCCTACTATACCACGCTGGCCAGACGGGTTGGTATAGGGTTTGTGTCAAGTTTTCCTTCTCTCTGCAGTGCTGTTGTCCTGCGTAGTTTTTTCCCTTAGTCGGCTCTTACGACACCTACAGGATGAATAGGGGTGGTGACACTCTGTATTCTTAATCCGTCACCACACGGACAAACTTCTTAATAATCGAATTATTAAATACACAATAGTTTTAACTTCTTTATAAATAAGTTTGCTTGAACTGTCCTTCAATAGTTCCTCATTTAAAAGTTGGGGGCAGTCCCCAACTTTTAAATGAGGAACTATTGACAATTTTATCCGTGACCGTAACATAGCATATCACCTAATGTGCTAATAACCCTCGGGTGCTGCGCAGACGACATCCATCGCGGTGTTTTTACAGACTTAAAGCACATGACGGCCAGCAGTGGTCTATTACAGGCTGTTGATGTGTGATGTGAATGCACATCGTCGATCATTGTCGGCAGAACTGTAGGGATGTACACGCTCTGGGAATGGAGAGATTGCTATGTATTATTTTATACTAAGTACAGAAAAATAAAAAGAAATAAAGAATTTTGGGTACATCCTATAGTTCCAGAGAGATTACCGAAGTGACAGTATCATATGAAACATTCAATTCTGAAACAATATCTGGACAAATCTTTCAAATTTTATAAAATGTCTGTTACTACATTTAATGAGCTGCTATCAATTATCTTTTTTAAACATCTAATCATGATATTCTGACTTAGAAGACCAGCAATTTAGGTCTGTTTTGTACTTCTTGTATTAACATCAATCTCTGGCGCCATGGTATTATACGTTATGTCCACCACTAACCAGTGCAGATTGCAGATGTTGACTAAAGTGTGCCCCACGGATAGTCTGTGCGCCTCACCTTAGTTATTGTGAAGTTCGGTTAAAAAAATTATCATGTTGACAGTACCATCAATGTTTGTAAAACTTGAACTAAAGAATATATTCCATTTATAGATTACACTCGAGACCTTGCGGGAAGAGATCAAGGATAAGGTTATCAAAGAAGTCATTCCCGCCCACTATCTGGATGACAAGACCGTGATTCACATCAACCCATGTGGCAACTTTATCATTGGTGGACCACAGGTAAACAACTTTTTAATGTTTAGACTTTATTTTTTCGTAGGTTAGAAGGTTTTCTGTATTTATAAATTACACTTTGTGTGATCCACAAATTGTTGTTCTGAGTCTCGGTGTCCTTTGTGTCCGTTTCATGTGTGTGTTTGTAAACTCCCGCGACACAGGATTTATTCCTAGTGTGTGAGTTCTTTTTAATAAAAAAAAAACCTCGTTAAGAGAATAAATATTTAATAATGTTTGTGATAAGATCTATCATATTATATTTGAATGTCAGAAAGTAAGAAACTGCAGTAAACTGCAAAGATCGAGTAAAGAGTTGCTTAAAAAACTGAACGCTCAAATACAATTCTTGGCATCTGGTATCTTTATATTTATGAAATACAAATAGATCCATAGTCGAGTCATACTAAAAGTCTAAAGTTCACTTCTGTCGCAGTCGTTTACTCTTTTTTATTCATAGAGAGATTACGGGGTACAGCTGCCTGTAAGTAAAAGCGATACAGGCAACGAGAGAGATGGATTCCCGATATTTTCCTCTGCCTAGCTAAGCTGCGATTGGCTAGTTATTAATATTTCCCAGCCAACTAAAGAGTTAGAGGGGACTATGTAATATCCATTTCTCTTGTTGCCGATATCACAAAATCGGGGCTCTCGTTCTCTCTAGGTTATATCTCTATGGTTTTGTCTCGATTTTGTTTTGGAGTATGTGGAGGCGTTAGCGATGTATTTCAGGGTCTCAATCCTGCTATTTCAATATTGTATCAATAGACTGTCGTCGGAATAGTTTTGTACTTTCCTATTTTATTAACGATGTAAGACTAATGGCTTCCTGATGACTTGTCACTGAGACAAAATGTCGTCGATGTCTTGTAACAGTTTGGTAAACGGTACATTTTAAATTTGTAAGAAAATGAAATATTTAATTTACCAGATATGGCAATGTTGTTGATATCACCATTGATGACCTATATTACTATATCGACAGTCTATTGACACTGAATTTATGTTAATAGAATACTGATATTTTGACCGATGTCAATAGCGTGTGAAGGTAATGCCAGTGGCGTTAACATAACATAGCAGAATGAGACCCCTGTACGGTGTGTGTGGTTGCAGTCGGACGCGGGTCTGACGGGGCGCAAGATCATCGTGGACACGTACGGCGGGTGGGGCGCTCACGGCGGGGGCGCGTTCTCGGGCAAGGACTTCACCAAGGTGGACCGCTCCGCCGCCTACGCCGCGCGTTGGGTCGCCAAGTCGCTCGTGCGCGCCGGGCTCTGTCGCCGCTGCATGGTGCAGGTTACACATTTTTTTGACATAACTTTTTTAATTCTGAATCTGTAATTATGAAAATTACCATACGAATGAAAAATAGGGTTTGTTTTAAAATGCAATAAAAATGACGACTAATAATTATACAGTCTTCTAGAAAATCACGTTTACTTTGAGCGCCTATCAAACAAACTGAATAATTTAAAATCTAAAATACCATTTTTTTTTCTTGAATGTAGTAATAGTGATGTGCCGGATATCTGTATCCGTATCCGCGGATATCCAAGGTAGAAGAGAGATCCGTAACCGTATCCGTGACTTTTTTGGCGGATCTTTCAATACATATTACATAGATGAAATTCTATATAGGTGATTTTGTATTCACTGTAAAACTCTTAGGTATGTGTTTGTAATACTATAAACAGCAACTTTATTTCTGGCCAAAGTCAAAATGAAAAAAATTGGTCCTCCATTCAAATGACCAATCAAAAGTTGTTAGTTTGTATGGAGAAACAATTTTTTTTTTCTTTTGTTTTCGGTGTATACATATAAGTATATAGTAATAAGTTAAAGATATATAGTAATAAGCTAAAGATGTTTGATTGATCTCATTATAAAGATAGCTCTTTCAGTACCTACGACCGGCCTAGTTGATTTAGTATAGTACGATAAATGATTGCAATACAAAGGTGCCCAATATTTGTTTTAAGAAATAAAAAGTAATCTGAACAGAATTCAATAGTTTTTCATAGCTACTTAATAACCATTATTCAGGGTTATTTAAAATTTACTGAAAACCTCTGAAGTGCATATTAGTAACATTATAAACAACAACTTTTCTTCTGGACTACCAGAAGAAAAGTTGTTGATCAATCAAACATCTTTAGCTTATTAAAATAATGAAATATTTAAATATCAACGGCAAAGCGTCAAGTGGCGACAACTATCAAGGTCACGGGCTCCGATTGAGTAAGAAACTTAAGATCCGTATCCGTATCCGCGGATATACTTTGTTAACGATCCGGCACATCACTATGTAGTAATAATATTTAGACAATGTAGTATCCAAATATGTTAAAAACTGAATTTCGTATTTTTTCAAAACCTTCAAAACATTATTCTACGATCATGAAATGTCTGTATGATCTGCAAATATTTGTTTCGGAGTTTAGATGTATTTACAAAAAAGTAAATAAGTATTCTATTTTTCAATCTAGCTTTCATGATACAAGCCCTGTTTAGTTTGAAACTAGATGGCGTTGTGTGTCAGATGTCGAAAATATTATTACTAATTACTTTTTTTTATCCAGGTCGCGTACGCCATCGGCGTTGCTGAGCCGCTATCTATCACAGTTTTTGACTATGGGACTTCACATAAGACCCAGCAGCAACTTCTCTCCATTGTAAAGAAGAACTTTGATCTACGACCAGGAAAAATTGTCAAGTGAGTATGAACACAGTATATTGCAATCTTGAACGCAATATTTACATGCACCTTTGATTTTCTTGATAGGTTAAAACGGCAGGTAGTGTCTAAGAGAAAAATAAAGTAATTTTTAATTATGGGTTTCTAGTCGACTAACAATATATAATCATGAGGACAAATAACCACCAAATTAAATTAAAGTACTTTACGAAACATTGTGAAGCATACAATATTTTTTAATTACCACAATTTAACGTCTACCTACCACTATTTATTTAGATTTTTGTACACTATATTTTTTTCAGTAAATGCGTTTAGAAGTTAAATATTAGTTCCAAATTAGGCTACTTGTTTATTTGACTCAAATAAAATCATAATTCCTAATAAAATGTATACAACAGAATTTTAAAACTCAAGTTAAAAGTGTATAAAGAACTGGTTTTCTTTGTAAATACAAACCATTTTATAATTTTATCTTGTTCTCTGTTTTGTTTTTTGTAGAATGTTATTTATACTGATCCAGATTTTAAAAAGAATGTTTAAAAATGTTTTTTTTTTCTTTTGTTTAAAGGGAATTGAACTTGAGAGCACCCATCTATCAGAAAACCAGTACTTACGGCCACTTCGGACGAGAAGGATTTCCGTGGGAGAATCCCAAACCGCTTGTTGTAGAATGACTTCAGACTTGATCATTAGAACATTGTAAATATTTTTATCAGTATATTATAAACACTTATTCTATGTGTGGTAACTGTAGCGAGGACGCAGAGAACGCTGGTCTCTCTCATTAGATATACTTGTACGGAACCTCGACAATGGAACTGTGCTACGACAGTGATCGCCCGTGACGGTTGCATTTACGGGGTTCACTGTAATTTTTAAGTACTCTCTAGTTTAATAGACACACATAGGTTTAATATGGTGCCGTCATTTCTGAATTTGAGTTAGTTCAGGGTACAATCGGCAGTCCTATTTTTAAGATTACTTATTCGGTTTCTTAAAAAAAAAAAACTGCTTTTTACACTGTCCAATCGCTTAATAAGTAAGATAAATGAATTTTCCAATGATTTCGACTATTATTATTTTTACAACTTAAAGTATGGACTGCCTACACTCTCGAATGTTCTTCGTTGTTCGCTTTACACTGTAAGTGCTATGATTTAGTAGTAGAGTAGACTACTTCGCTGGTCGCGTCACAGTGCGGGAGTACGGATATTCTGCTCCCCACTGCAAATATAATGCTGCGACGAGACGCTCCTTTTATGTATATATTTTTGTTATTTATCAACTCAAGATAAAATATTAAATATTTATAATCCTCTTTTGCTGTGAACTATTAATTAATAAATTATGTCGGTTATCGTCTCGCGCGCAGTATAATTTGTGTTGTGTTTCCGAAAAGGATTGCAGTGGAAAAGAGCCATTTTGAAAACACACCGACTAGGCCAGGGTAGTAGTGCACTGTGCATTTATCCTAATTGTAATTCCGCCGGTAGTTGTAATTAGGCCAAAATGCTAACCGTACATTTGACATATAGGAATTAACTTAGATTTAACTATATCGTGTAGGGCGGTTAGTGAGTATTCCCGACTATATTTTTTGATCTGTTTCAACTTCTACCTGTTTAAAGCTCTAATTAACTTCTGTGGATTATCGATTTGTCAGATTGTGGAATTTAAACTTAATAAAATAAAAGTTGATCCTCTCGATATATTAGCGGGAGTAAATATAAGGGTTTTATTTTAATATTAATACCATATCCCTATATAGTGAGCGTGCTTTGAGACTGGTACACTCCCACTACTGGTAGCTATATCGCACCCGTGGTTAACAGCAAAGGTCCTTTGTATCTCCTATAGTCTTAAAATTCGTCAGTGAAAAGTTAGTTTTGTGTATCAAATCTTGAATTTCCTCGATAGTATACTTAACTGTCAGCAAAAAGGTGACTGTCGAGTTCGTATCTGAGTAAGAGCTCAGATACGAACCCGACAGTCACCTTTTTGCTTTATTATCGTATCAGTACAAAAGTATACCACTAGATGTCACTGTTTTATTAATATTAGTGTTTTATGTGTGTCACTGATGACATCAGGGATTTTAATTTTGATAACACATAAATTGTGGAAATTTGTTGCCCAATATAAGAATTTATCGGTCACTAGTTCAAAAGTTATAAGCGTTTATAGGTGGCTGACCGGTGTCAGTTTCCCCAGCTTGGCCACGCTTATATCTCATAAACTAGGGCACCTAGCGAAGATCTGTTTTGTCCCAAATATAGTAGCTAATTAGTCGAAATCAGTCGATAAAAATCAAAACATGTCGGTCGTCGTCGGACGTAAATTTTAGAATGTTACCTAAATATAAATAGGTATTATTAGGCATTTCTTTTAGAACCTCGTGCAATAAGTGCATATGAAACAGTGGTCCAGTCATGGTAAATTATCCCATAGCTCATAAATGACCAAGTAGGAGTACATCAATGAAACTTGGCAAGACGTAGATAATAATAACAATAACGACCCATTTCACATACGGCGGTCTGATCCCAAACTAGGCAGAGCCTGTGCTTTGGTAACCGGACTGCTGATACACATACTTATGTATTTCTAAATACATACATATTAATACTCCTCTTTTCCTGTGAACTGTTAATTAATAGTAGGCCAAAACCTTTTAAACTTGAATATCTTCACAGTTTATTGAAACGAATTTCATTTAGACATACACAATTACCTCACGTCATACACTCAATTTTAAAACAATTTTTTTTCTTCTACGTCCATAGGATAAAAAAAAGTGCCGGAAACAGTTTTTCGTGAATAACTCCCAAATGGTTTAATGCACAAATTTTTACTTATTACAATCCACCATACACAATTACACGACGCCATACTCTGAATATCTGTTGAACTCAAATACATTCGAACTTTTTCCGCTGGGGCAACGCACACGCAGTCACATCAACAGCCTTTAGTAGTCCACTGCTGTACATAAGCCTCTCCTTAGAAATGAGTTTTGGCCTACTATACCACGCTGGTCAGACGGGTTGAAATAGGGTTTGTGTTAAGTTTTCCTTCTCTCTGCAGTGCTGTTGTTCTTCCCTTAGTTGGCTCTTACGACACCCACGGGATGAATAGAGGTGGTGACACTGTATTCTTAATCCGTCACCACACGGATAAGGGCAGTGACACGCAGTAGGGCTAGAGGATTTTTTATTTTATTTATTTGTCGGTGTTTATATTTTCAACAAAAAAAAAATATGTCCAGCCAAAGACAATACGGTTTTGGGCTTGGCTTGAGCTTGTCGCCAATCCGAGCTAGTTTCGGTTTTTGAACACAGAGGGCGATTTTATTTCACCTCAACTCGCTCTCGACGACGAACGCGTTTTGTGTTGCAATTAGTGAAAATTTAATTTTTTCAAGTTATTGTGAAATAAACTAGCCTTCAGACCAAAATAAGCTTGCTGCAAGATCTTCCACGTTCCTCACTGCCCAAAAGGACTGTTCAACTTGATAAAAGTTGAGCAGTCGAGAATCAACATTAAGTCTCAATGCTCTACTGGTTGAGCAGTAAGGTCTGACTATTTTTTTTATTTATCGCGTTGTTTAGTGTTACTGTTAATATTTTGAATAAAATATATGAAGCCAAACGCTGCAAATAGCCGACACAACTACTCGGTGCAGAGGTAGCGTATGCGACTGCTGTGATGTTTCGGGTTCAATTGCCGGGTCGGACCAAATGTTTGTATGATCTGCAAATATTTGTTTCGGAGTTTGGGTGTTTTCTATGTATAATATGCATGAATTTACAAAAATAGGATATTATTTAAAAAAACTTTAACGTCCACGTCTGCTGTTTGCCTGTCCGGAAAACACACTCGCAAGCGTGTAAATTGCATCGCAACGTTTGTAAAGGCTCGCCGAGGCTTGGCAAACGTCTACAACGTTTGCTTTATAGACGAATGCTGACTGACGTAATTGTTTTAACATGTAATTCAATCGAAATAATGTAATCGATTCTGTTATCGATGCGCGTGCATTTAATTAATCATTTATAAGGACATTTTATGCTTGAAAAAAAAGCAATCTGTATTATCAAATTCGATTATAATGAACGTAAAATACAATTAATCACTATCGCAATCAAAACAATTCAAGAATTTGATGTAATATCGTCACTCTTCTTATGTCCTTCAATAAATAAAAGAGTCAACAACATTCTCCACTGAGCCATCCTTTTGTCAGTAATGTTCTAATGCAAAGACATTTTTATTATAAGCATGTCAATTTTCCATTATAGGTTGTTTAGTCCCTATCAGACAGTCAGTATCTACTTCAGTCTCATCAGAAAAAAATCGAGGTAATGTTATGTTTCATGCGAGCTCTATTGTCAAATGGCATAGATAACGCATCAATCGCAGTACATCATGACCATGGTTTTTTTACGAATTTGTCCATTGTGGATAATTTTTCAGGAATCTTGTTTTTTGAGATAAATCAGCTTTCCTCATACTGAGGCTGGCTTGTATGTTAGGTACTCTTGGTGAGTCTGTCTAAGTTGGACTAAAATCGTATTTATTCTGTCAATATCGCATTTATTTTATCGTCTTGTCAATATGTTTTAAAAGCGAAATAAATTGCTATCAATCCATGTTTCGTTTAAAAATATGCGATTGTTTTATCTGATTTGACGTATTCTTGTTCAACAACTTTCTCAGAACATCAATTTTGTCCCATAGAGCTAGTCAAAAGTGTTTTGCAAATAAGACGATTTTTTTTTTAATTTTATACCCAGTATATCTATGTAGTATAACATCTTGCAACTGACTACAATTTAAATAAATTATCTCATTATACACCTCTGCCACACACAAATCTCTGCCGCACCCCAAGGTTGACTGAAAGAAATGCCTATGGCATTAAGTCCGCCTCATGCAATGTATTCGCAGGCAGTATAAATAAATTAATAATTTACTTGATAATCAAAATCCTCAAAATTTAAATCTTTTTCCCTCGGAAATTTCTTCCGTTTTTTAGATGGTCATTTCAGATGTCCGTGTGGGTCTATAGGCTCTTTCTTCATTTTACTTATAAACACACTTAGCCAGACCTGTAAAATATACTGCTCAATCAAGCGTTTGGTTAATACTAAACTTGATTTTATTTTTCTTCACACATCGCAAACGCGTTTTGCCATTTTGCGGGCTTGTTTTCGAATTAAGTAGGTATAACTGTTTTTTTTTTCTGTGTCCGCTGTCATTTCTCTTGATCACCATTCCTAATTCTTTAAGATTAGAAATCTACTATTATTTATACAAAACGAAACTCCTAGCGCCAAATTGAAAATGTTGACTCGTTATGCGTGCTTTTGCGTCAAACACTACAGTAATGCTAAAGAGGGTATGGAGCAAAGGTAGCGGAGTGTTCATCTGCTCGCTCGTCTGCCCCCGATTTCTTGGAGCTCGCGAGCAACTTTACATAATATGGTGGTTATAACATAATGACATATTGATCTAATATGTCTAATATATAAAATTCTCGTGTCACGGTGTTAGAAGTTGAACATTTTGTGTGCATATCGGGTAGGTCTGAGAATCGGACATCTATTTTTCATACCCCTATTATTTTTTTTTGACATAATAAATTGAAATAATGTATTTGGTAAAACAACGTTTGCAGGGTCAGCTAGTATAAATACTCGTATGTAATTATGTTTTACACAGCTGTTTGTAACACCAATATCACGAATCTCTATTAATATATATTTTAGTTTATAAAATGTTATGATTTTGCTCTTTTTAAATGTTTAATCCCTTGCTAGGTGTGCATCTTGAAGAGTACAACACAGGATATTGCATTAGGTATGTAGATGATTGAGAAATCCAAAATTTAATGGCCGTAAAGGTTATTACAATTACAGCTTCGGTTCCTTTTCATACATTCGCATTTTAACTTTTTACTGGGCCCACCTTTCTTGTACGGTTTTTGTCCAATCTTATTACCCCTATAAAATATTAAAAATTATTAAAGACAAAAATTAAATGACATGACATGACATGACAATGAAATTAAATGATAAATACTAATCAAATGACAATATACATATAACCCGTTTACTTCAAGATACAGACAGCATTAGGTTGATGTAAATATGCAAAGTACTCGTAATTACCTAATGAACAAAAAATCTATCAGGAAAATTATGCAAATTGTTTCAACTATTGTAGAATTCAGGTTTGGTTTATATAAGGTTAGCAGCTATTTTTTCAATACAAATTAAATATGTTATCTATCAGTGTTTGCTTTTAAACTTGGAGGGGTCTATTTTTTAGACATGCGGATAAAAAGTCAATAAAAATGTACTTTAATGGTTGTTAATGATAAAATAGCACGACAGAACATGTTTTTGCCATTATTACTATTTAGTAGGAATGTAATTGTATTGACGTCGGATGGAAACGGAAACAGACGTTTCACCATTACGCTTTAGCCAATTCAGCCTTTGAGCATACGTACAAGGACGGTATGTCATTGTTATCTAATTATTGTGCGGATTCCTTACCCTGGCCCATAGTTACACACAACATAAAAAATCTTCCATTGCCCTTTGTACGTTTGTGAAATAGCACAGCCAATGTAAATGCTATCCGACCACACCATCTGAGAAGTTATAAAAAAAATGTTCTGAAAAACATTATCTTCGAGTCGTAGTAATCTTGATTTAGGTTTATATAATTCTTATTCCCATAAGAAAAATTACAACTGTTCTCTAATGAGATAAGATAATTTCCAATCATACCCACCCAAGGATCAGGTAGATGAGTTAATGACAAACCTGAGTGTAGTGACCAGTCTTCCCGAAAGTACCCTTCTGCAGTGGCCCGTAAGTATAGTTCTGGTGTTCGTCAAACCAAATTTGTAAGACTTTTTCCGGGTCTAGTTTGAAATGACGATTTGTAGTAGAATACCAATACAAATTTTCACCAGTTCTAAATCTACGTGATTCTGAAAAAGTAAGGTTTTTTTTACACGCTTTTACACGCTTTATATATTAGCTTCACTTGTATGTTTGTAACCGACTCCTTTGGGCGTGATTTTGACTGACTTTAAATGGTCAGAATTAGTTTTTAGATTTATGAAAACTTTTTAGATTTATCGAGGACCGATGACAATACACTAATTAAAAAAATAAAAATAATCGTGGGGTGCTTTTCACTATTGACAACAGGCAACCACGCTTTTTTCAAATTCATTTTCCATTTTTTAGTTTGGTTTTCTATAGAAAGCGTGTTTTTTAGTTTTTTTAAACTATTTTTTTTTTATTGGAACAAAGCTCCTTATCACTCGTTACACGCTATGAGCGGATGGAAGCAAGACTGAAAAATGTGTAACAAGACTTTTTTCCGACACTATGGCAAAACGTCTACAGAAAAGCGAATGGAACATCGTTCCAACCGGGGGTTCGTAGACCCCTCACGACGTTTTTATTTTTGTTGCCTGGATGATTAGACAGATTTGTATCTTTGACTAAGAAATTGCCATTCCTTTCGATTTGACTTTGCACCCAAGAAAGGTTTATTTATCGGAAACCAGTAAAAATAATAATTTTTATAACCTTATGAAACTACGATGGTGCAATGGTAAAGCATAACCTGGCTGGAATTAGCAACAGACGAGAGGGCCCCCCTTAACCGTCAAATACAAAGAAGACTCACAATATCGTTTTACTCATCGTGGTGAATGCATAAAAGCTGCTATGGTTACAGGCATCTAACTAGTATTATTATCTAACTAGTATATTATTTTTGATTGATACACCGCTCCTATTGGTCGATAAACCTTTCTTGGTAAACTGAACTAACACTGAAAGATTTTTTCAAATCGGATCAGTAGTTCCTGAGATTAGCGCGTTCAACCACACAAACAAATTCTTCAGCTTTATAATATTACTCGTAGTATAGATAACTAAGACAAGTTTTATTTGATGCATTAGTGACTAAAGCAACAAAATCCTTTAATCAATTGTTCATTTAATCACTATAATTAACAATGTGTGTACCGTGACATACGTAGTATAAAATGAAGTTAAAGCGAAATTAAACTTTTCATATTTTACAAAATTAAATAACGAATTTTTCTTTAATTATTTGGTAATTTAATATAAAGTGTGATCGCCTCTGTTGTTGAAAACTTGTCGGCAAACGACTTTTCATTGAATTTCTATGATTGTTTACCTGATCCCGCGGCAATCGCTCCCAATCGATTTTTAACAAGTCTTTCAGTTGTTGGGTTGTCAATACTAACCTCTAGAATACGTCTCTGGAGCATGTCCCATGCGTGCTCGATGGGATTGAGGTCTGGCGATTGTGCAGGCTACGGCAATACCTTCATAATACCCGCCCATACCATCACTGTGGAGCCACTGTAAGGGTGCACTTCCTGGATAAATCTCAGGCGTTCGGCATTTCCAGGATGACGATACTCTTACCCTTTTCGTACCGGGCCTAAATCCAAACTGGTACTGAAATTTTATCCTATTGCTCCTGGGTCCATGTCAACTGTTCCCTACAAAATTCGTTTCGACAGACGTGCTTCCCATGGCAGCGTGCTCGTAGCCCGTATTCATGCAGCATATTTCTCACAGTTTGGTGGCCAAGAACCAAACCATTTGAGAATTGTAGTTTTAAACCTATCTCCCGGACGGTTAACATTGGCTGACGACTTGCAGTCAGTTGCATGTATTAGTCCTGGCGAGCAGTTGTTCTATGTTCTGGGTGCTGCTCAGTAGGATCCCCTGTATTAACATTACGTTGCTGCCAAAGACGATTGCATTAAGGATTTTGTGGCTTTGGTCACTAATGCATGAAATATTGCTTGGTTATTATTTATAAAAGAAATATAAATATATTACAGTAGTACAAATCGTTCAAAAGTTCAAAACCGTACATGTTGCTTAGACTTTAATGATGTGTGTTTATTTAGAAATAAATACTTAATATAAGTATGAATATCAATAAGTAACTGATTACCTGGTACCCAGTTACCGTAGTACAGGTTCTGCCTAGCTGAGATGTCTCAGATTATTACTTATTATTACGAATTTAGATGTTGAGTATGTCCGTTGTTCGAATTTCATAACATCAATTTAAACAAAAATTATTCTGTTTATAAGAAACGTAATGATAGAAGATTTCGTTTACTGAAGTCGACATTTTGGTTAAAAATAATAATAATAATAATAATAATAATATTCTACCACATTCACACAACGCCATCTAGTCCCAAACTAAGCAGAGCTTGTACTATGGCTACTAGACAACTGATATAAATACATATATACTTTTTTTTTGTAAATACATACATATTATACATAGAAACACCCAGACCAAATCAAACATTAAATGTTCATGCACACAAATGCTTGACTTGAGCGGGAATCGGAAATGATTTCACAATGAGTAAACAGAGCATTTTACCCAAAATAATTCAATAAATACCGCATACAGTCAAAAACTGCAATGTAATTAATCAAACGTAAGTCCACATTCAACCAGTCACAATTTTTTATTATAGATTATTTATAAATAGATAATATTTTTTAATATAGAATGACAACAAGAAATTTACATTGTGACAGGCAAGTGGCCCGATATAAAATATATCAGCCAAAATGCCAAAATGTTCCACATTGCGCTTACCCCGCCTAAAGGGAAAACAGCAAGCTTTTTCTTATTCTATCTGGACCTATGCAAAAGTGTGTAAATATATATGTGTATAAATGTATATCTATCTATATCTGATCTGATTTTATTTAACTTGAGACTCCCAAACTACTATTGGAACAGATGATGGATAAACTATATACATACTGTGTCAAGCTGTAAAAAAGAATGAATGAATTAAAATGCTTTTTTATTACAATCCAAAAAAAATACTTTTCTATAGGTACCTACTTGTTGATAGTTTTCCATCTTACAACTAGGTGTACGAGAGTGATAAATACTTACTGACAGTTTTATCAGGATTATGGTTTTTAGAGTGCTTTGCTGCCCACGACGATGCTTTTAAGTACAATTCGTGGTCCCACCTCTATAAAAAGTTAAGAAAGGAAGGAAAACTTAAAGAACGTCGACATTCTACATTTAGTAGTAGCTAATTAAAATGTTACATGAAGAAAAATAAAATATTATGACAGTTTGTAAATTTAAAAACAATATTTTTCAGTATTTTGTTTTTTATTTTTATCGACGTTAAAATCTTCAGCGTAAAACAATGGAGATAACTCCAAACAATATTATAAATACAGCCCGAGTAACCAAATTGTTGTGAACACCAAGTTTTCCAATTTTTAAACATCAAGTCCTTAATTTAATTCATAAGTACAATCAAAACTGCAAAATTTTCTTTTTCGTTAATGCAGTAGTGCCTATTTTATGAAATAAATGTAATATGGATAAATAACATAAAGTTTATTTTCTCATCGATGTGTAATATGTTACTTTCATACAAAATTTGCCCAAAAAATCACGAACGCAAAACAAAATAAAAGCAATCGGTCGGGCTTTGCTCCGTGAAAATCCTTTATTTTTATTTGTAATGTATAATGTTTATGTTTAGAGCAATTTGTGGATCACACAAAGTGTCGTCCCATGTGGGGATCGAACACACAACACTCAGCGTAGTAGTAAGTAGCTTGGCGACCGCTTAAACCACTACGCCATCCGTGCAGTCAATAAGTGCAGTCAGTAATGTAATGTAAATATTACTATAGCTATTAATTTAATTTTTATCATTTTTTATGTATTGTATTGTAGTATACCGAAATCCACCGAAGTGTGGTGCATATGCGGGGATAAAATTAAATTTAATTCCTTCGATGGCCACACTTTCACCAATCGACTTGCAGCTAGTCTTTAAAAATGTAGACAATTGGTTATAAGCGCCTACGAAAGAAGTCCCATTATCGAAATAAATGTTCTTCGGTTTACCACGGCGCGATATAAAACGACGCAAGGCCAAAATATATGTATGACTCGTCAGGTCACCCACTAGTTCCAAATGAACGGCCTTAGTACTAAAACATACAAAAATACATATATAGACTTTCACTATACGTGATCCACGCCCTTGCCTGCTGATAGATGCAATAGGTCCCGCATGGTCCACACCTACGTTCTCAAATGGAAAACCTGGTATGAGACGCTCTTTGGGAAGGTTTCCATTAATGGAGCAATAACTTGACCCTTTAAACGACTGCATCTAATACATTGACGGTAACAGTACGTTTCCCTAATTGAGGCCAAAAGCAATTGAGGTCCGGCATGCATCAACCGTTTATGCTCAAATTCAAATAACAGCTTAGTAAGACGATGAGTGGACTGTAATAATATAGGATGTTTTTTTATCGTAACTGTAATTAGAATTTTGTAAACGACCGCCAACGCGCATTATTTTATCTTCATCTAAAAATATATTTAATTTAAGCAACTGACTGCCTTTTGGCAAGCATTGATTATTTAATAATGATTTATATTCAGGAAAGGATTCTGTTTCATCAACAGCCTATACTAGTCCACTGCTGGACATATGCCTCTAATTAGAAAGGAGGTTTTGGCCTACTATACCACGCTGGCCAGACGGGTTGGTATAGGGTTTGTTTCAAGTTTTCCTTCTCTTTGCAGTGCTGTTGTCCTGCTTAGTTTGCTCCCTTAGTCGGCTCTTACGACACCCACGGGATGAATTGGGGTGGTGACAATTTGTATTCTTAATCCGTCACCACACGGACTACTACGGATTCTAATTGTGACATTTTAATTATTAAATTTAATTAATTTTGTAGCTCATAGTTAAATAGTTCTCTACTAATGGGTGCCCTTCGCACCGATTCATAAACCGTAACACGTATGCTATAGAGCGTTGTAAACGTAAAAAGTCGATTTTTAATTTAGACGAGCTTTCACAAATATTAATTTGCAACGAAATGTGTCGTGTTTCAGGTAACGGTTCTTTAATCACAAACTTAGGACCTGACCAAACAGATGTCTAAAGACTGGATTAATGCAAAATCAACTCCGCGAGTTATATGATCGTCGGGATTTTGATCAGTGGGAACATGTCTCCAACTGTGATTGCCAGTTTTCTCTAATATATCGGCGACTCGATTACGTACAAAAGATTGTAACTCGCTTGGTAACATCCTTAACTTTGTCTTGTTTATCTGATACTAACTGTACCAATATCACTAAAATAATTTCATTAGCGTACACTTTTCACCAATGTAAAACTCTTTACGTTCAAAAAATGAAACAATTAGTTGAAATCGAATTAAAACTTTAGAAATGCTATTTTAAACTTAAACCCATAATCGTAAATAAATAATAATGAAAGTAGTGAATAATTCATCAAATTATTAAGTAAGTACCATCCACCATATAGGTATTTGCTATCGTTATGAATCTTACCATGATGTTCATTTCAGAGGCACTTGGCTGTCCCTTAACTTGACCCATAGCCACCCGTAGCCGCCGTGAGTTGTGGCCTTCAAGGAATTTACGACGTTTCCTATGACTACCTGAAATATCTACTGTGGAAAAAAAAAGTTTATTACTTTCACACAAGGATTTCTCGATACACAGTTTTGTTAAAATGAAATAAGCGTGAAATGTCCGTGTGGCGGATTAAGAATACGAAGTATTACCACCCCTATTCATCCCGTGGGTGTCGGAAGAGCCGACTAAGGGAGCAAACTACGCAGGACAACAGCACTGCAAAGAGAAAGAAAACTTGAAACAAACCCTATACCTACCAACCAGTAGGCCAAAACCTCCTTTCTAAGGAGAGGCCTATGTCCAGCAGTGGACTATTACAGGCTGTTGATGATGATGATGAAATAAGCGACGATGAAATGTGAAATCACTTGTAGTTATGGACGAAAACTGATAAGGCGAACCAATTGTTACCTACACGTTGTAAATATTACGAAAATTAAACACAGAAAGAACCACTTCATTCCTTGGTCGGTCAATTACGACTATTGAGATTTTAAGAAACGCAAATAAATATAATATTTTTGTAACTACGTACAATACACCTGTACAAAAAATTGCACGCAATACACATTTAAGGAAAATATTCGCAAGATGGAGTTAGCGATTGTATGAGAAAATGGAATCATGTATCCTATTAGTTACACGTACCTGAGAAATCAAACGTTATATATTATAGCTAACAGTCACAGTAACTGTAACCAAATCGTATATTATCCGGCATTTAGGTTTTTACGATGTTTATCAACCTTTTCATAATGCTGTCATCGACGTGATTTAAGTAGATGTATCTACTTAAATCAGGGGACGTTTTACAGATAAATATTTATTTAAAACTGTATAGTCTATTTAAATTTTGTTTTTTAAATATATACATCGTATTGCGCTCGTACTTAATAAGTATTAATAAGTGACAGAATACCTAACAAATAACTAGATTAAATAGATTGTAATCTAAAAGTGCGGTAAGGCTAACTGATCCTTTGGTCTAGCGGTTCGGCATTTTTACTGCTAAGTAAGAGATCGTTCAATTCCCACCCAGGACTAATGATCGTGTGATGAACACGATTATTAGTACTGGGTGGGATTTATTTTGTGTAAATCTATTAGTTAGAAAATAAAAATTAGAAAAAAATATAAATTAATCAAAAATTTATGTATGTCTCTTGGATTAAAAATTTATGTATGTCTCTTGGCGTTCTGGTTACCATAATACAGACCCTGTGTACTGTTTATGTAAACAACATTCAATTTCATATTATTTTTGTTAGATAATCATTGATATTTACATCGCATTTGCCTAACTTATTTTTGTATATCGTCCCCGTAGTTGGAAAATTAAATAAGTCCGGTTTTGGCGATATTGACTTTTCCCTATTTTCAAAACACCTAAAACTTGCCGCATATTTGAGCCTTACAGGCATTTTCGTATCTTATTCCATTCCAAAAATATAGCCATTTTTGTCGGACAGATGGAATAATAAATATCTTCAGACTAACACTATTTTTTTGAAGGAAAAATAAATAACTCAGTAAATAAATCAATAACTGTGGTCAATTATAAGTTAAATGGCAAATAAATTAAATAACATACCTATTTTAAGTTTTTCATAGTTTTACTTACTACTTAAGTATGTCTTTTGTAATTAGGTCTCTGATTTTAGAGCCTTATTGTTATTTCTTGGGTTTAAATTGTTTTCTGTTTTGATTTGAAAGAATACTTTAAGTTAATTTGTTTCCACTTGTTATAATTCCTATAATTTGGTTTATTTTTTTAAGTTTGTGGCAAGATAAATATCTGTTTACAATACCATTTTTTTAAATTTTATTGTACTTTTATATTTCTTCCAAAATATAACTTTATTATTATCATAATACAGCTTTTATTTTATATGAGACCAATAATAGTTAAAAATATCAAAATAATGTAAAATACAACGCCACTAAGTTTTACATTTAAAAATATTACGAGTTTGATAAATTCAATAACTGCATTTATTTCTCCAAATTTTACTCTACCAAATGGATTTAGCTTGTAGGAAAACTAAATAAATAGCCGAAATAAGTAGCTCATTTTAGTTACGTTATAAATAATAGTTGTGGCAAAATTAAACAACTTGAGTTTTAATGTTTAATTTTGTTATAGTTAAAGATAGAGTTCAGTTTGTTAAAGCAAGATATAAAAGGTAATCAGGTCCACAAAATATAAAAATTACCGACTGTAAAATTGTCTCACATTTTTTAACAAATGTACATTAACTGAAAAAAACCACTGAATCGCATTTATCTCAGAACTCCAAAATCATAGTTATTTAATTTTACAACTACGGGGACGATATGTAAATGACATTTAATATAATATAGACTTAATTAAATTAAAACCAAATTTACTATAGTTGAATCTAATTTTTGAATGTATCCATTTATGACAGATACCTAGGACAACAAGTTTATGTACAATATAAATTAAAACAGACTGCTTAGTTAGGATCAGACGGAAAGAGATATGTTAAGTTATTATTATTATTACATATTCACGGCCAAAGAAAACTGACACTGTTTAAAAATTTAACAATTCCGGCAAACTGTTGTCAGAAATTCTTAACAAATCTGGAATTTAAGAAACTGAACAATCAACATCACAGAACTCTTAAACTCATTGTTAGTGAGCTAATCGTACTGTCGGAATTCCGGGCACCTAATTTAATGTATTTCAGTTTTAAAACACTACAGCACAAACTTTTAAGTAGTTTTAAGGTTTTACAAAACGTTCATCATTTTCATAAAATAATATTTAAGTCTTTTGTTGTTATGAAAAGCCCATTTTGTTTTGTTTTTGTGCCTGGGGCGCCTAATGTTAAAACACGCCTCTGACTGTGACAATTACGAATAAAATAAAAATACATTTACAAATCGCAGGTTCCATCCCAGTGCCCTCATCAACTAAAAAACATTTAATCTTTACACAAATACATGGAAACTAATAAATTAACATGTACTTGACTTGCAAACATACCTCCTTTGTTTATCTAGTTTTTATTACTAACAACGGAATCTAAATGAGATGTTCTTTTATTTTGTTATTGTTATCTTTATAACCTTAAAATACCATATTTCAAAAAATAATCACTTAACCTTCCTGTTCGTGGGAAACACCTTCAGTAACTTATTAAAATTACTTATTCATTGTAGTAAAAAATTGGACAAATGCGAGGCTGATTCACGAATACCAGAGGGTTCTGTACAAACTTGTACATATATAAATAATTTGTCTATCGCCATTAGAATCGATTCTCGAAGTATCTTTACCCGTTTTGCCAGAACCACACACTGAAGTTTGCCTTTCTAAAAGTTTCTACTCTTCTACACATCGAATTTACGTTACACTCTATTTTCAAACGCAAAACATTAAATTGTAATCGTACAAAAAAAATAGTTTAAAAAACTAAAAACACTTTTTATAGAAAACCAAACTAAAAAAGAGAAACTAAATTTTAATGACTTTAAAAAAAAAAAGAGTTGGGTGCCTGTTGTCAATAGTAAAAAGCACCCCACGCCTTTTTTTCACGCTTGTTTTATTATTTTTAATATTTTATTTTAATTTTAAATTAGTATATTGTCATCGGTCCTCGATATATCTGCAAAGTTTGAACGAATTCTGACCGTTTAAAGTCAGTCAAAATCACGCCCAAAGGATTCGGTTAAAAACAAACACACAGGTGAAGCTACTAAAAAGCGTGTAAAAACAAAAACATAATTTACATATTTTTTTCATTCTATTACGGCTTTTTTTAGCCACATTCATTTGCTCAATAAATTCTGATTTAAGCTTATGTGGCAAATTACAAAATAACTGTGGCCGTTGCTGTAGGTCAAGAATACTAAAATGGACTTAGGGTGCCTTAATCTCAAAAAAAGTTGTGATCCTCCATTCTTGATTGAGAAAATTTGAGAGAAGCCGCAGGCAAAACGTATTTATCTAATACAACAGTTAAGCGAGTGTGGTGATTATTTTATAATTTGTGTGTGCTTGTTTTTTCTTTTATGGGTAACCGTTGTTAGGCAATTATTTCGTTACTTTTCACCAAATGAGTGAGGTTGCCAATCAAAAGGCGGCAGCGCACTCGTGATTCTTAGGTGTCACTTACCATCAGGGGAGCAGTCCCAACCAGCAGTGCTATTCTCTAAGGAAACAGCCTTGCGTACAGCGGAATTTTAAATTAACTTAGTTTGAAATTCCACGCTGCGACAGCGCTATATTAGCGTCGAATATCAAATGAACTTAGTTTGAAGTTCAACGCTGTTTCAGCGCTGTATGCAAGGTTGTTTCCTCAGAGAATATCACTGCAGACCGGGCCGGTCGGATATCAGGTGTCAAATCAAAAAGTGTCAAGTCAAATCATAAATTGGAATATCTTAATATAGTTAATAGTTCTTCACTCTACATTCTTCTTACTGAATAGAGGAATATAGAAAGAAAATGGTGTAGTTGAAATATGATAGTAATAAAGTGTTATGATTACCTAACCCACAGGTATTTGCCTAAAAACCCTATGCCTAATTACTGTAATAACTGTAAGAAAACATTGAAGTCCAAAATAATTATAAAGGAAACATTCTATCCTCATGTGAAATCTAAAGTTTTCAATTTTAGCTGTTAAGACCGGGTTGTTAATAACATTGTTGCCAAATAATATATAATTACATCGACTTTAAAATTTAAATCTCACGGTCTAGTCAAAAATATTATGTCTGTGTGACTGTGGTACTTACAAGTCTCATGGTATTGTCTTAACTGTCACATTTCAACTTTCATCTACAATTTTTATTTCTTAATGCAAGTTTATCAGAGGTTGTTACCTTCACAGGTTTTTCATAAATAAAAACATCCATATGAATTGTGTTGTATTATTTAATAAGGTACAAAGGTAAATTAATTTAACGATAAGTAAAACCTACTAATTTAATAATTCTATTTTGTTCAACCATAAAGTTTATTGCAATCACAACCTCGATCGTTCTTAGGACAACCGCAGGTCAACTTGTTGCTGGGCCCACCTTTCTTGTATGGTTCTTGACCGATATAGTTTCCCCTGAAAAATACACCGAATAAAGTTTAGACTAGTCTAGAAATGCCACGAATATTCGGCAACTAGTCGGTATTCGGCTATTCGCCTATTTTTCCACTATTCGGTATTCGGCCGAATATTTTGAACTTGGCCGAACACCGAATAGTCAATCACAAAAGAAAAGAATGCATAATATTACCTAAAAAGATTTTTATTTTACCAATACCTCATCATAATAATACTTAAAAAAATCCGCAATTGTTGAAAGGAAATGGTCGCCCTTTTCCACATAAATTATACCTGCTTCGGTAAATCATATTTCTACATCATCCGGTCGATTGGGAAGAAATGCCTCTTGGCATTAAATCCACCTTTGTAGAACATACGCAAGTTTAAAAAATTAAATTGGCGCTCACTGTATAAGTATATACTGCTTCCGGGAGATGATAAATAAATCTTAGCAAATTCTGACACGTCAGGATATTGTTTTGCGTTTGCTGGCTTGACTAACTGATTCAGGTTTAGACCAGCGAGTTGTACTAAGTATTGACAAATATTCGTCGTCCGAATATTCGGCGTCTCGGCCAAATCACTATTCGTGGCATCTCTAGTTTAGACTATACGTGTTCTTACACCAAGGCTTAAATAAAATAAAATAAAAAAATGTTTCTTTTTCTCAATTTAAACTACGTTTTTACTATGTCTTTTTTTTACCGGTGGAGAGCCATGCTTCGGCTCGAATGGGCCGGCTCGACCGGAGTGATACCACGGCCTCACAGAAAACCGGTGTTAAGCAATTCTTTCGTTGCCTTTCCTTGCCTGAGTGAATGAGGTTACCGGAGCCCAAATCCCCCCTTCCGCTGACTCGAGCGGAAGGGACTCCAAGGGCAGCAACGCACTTGTGACTTTTGAGTTGCAGGTGTCCATGGGCGGCGGCAGTTGCTTACCATCAGGTGACCGGTGTTTATGACATTAAGTAAAGGGATAGAATGACTCACGATGGTCCGTAATTACAAACGACGAAGAACTTCTTCCATTGTCCTTTGTAAGTTTCTGATATAGCACAACCGACGTAAATAGTGTTCGACCATACCATCTGAAAAGAAAAAAACATTAACATACTGCCTAAATATTTCATTTGCTTTCTACAAGAATCCTTTTTTCTATTTTATATCGATTACTAATATTTAAGTAATATTTAAAAAATGAACATAATAGTAAAAAAAAAAATGTCGTTCTAATCGTAAGGTGTAACTCTCTCGATAATGAGTACAGGAACGATCGAAGTCAAAGATGAGGGAAGCTGGAAGGGTCATATTAATACTAAGGCCAAATGAAGATTAAACTGATAGCTGTCTTCATCAACAACCTTTAAACTTCTATGCTTCATATAGGCCTTACTATACCATACTGACAAGACAGGTCGGTACAGGGTTTGTGTCAAGTTTCCCTACTCTTCGCAGTGCTGTTTTCCTGCATAGTTTGTTCCCTTAGTCGGCTCTTACGACACACGAATAGGCCTGGTAATTCTTAATCCGTCACCACACGGATAGTCTTGCCGGATATAATAAATCCGGGCAATTTACTAATAATTTTATTTATTACTACTGACGTGGCGAAGAGACTTCAATTCAAAATGTACCTAACAGTCAACAGCAGCAAAAATTCAACTCCAGTCATAATTTAATAAAAGTTTATAAACTAAACCTTATATATAAAGACTAACCTGTGTGTAGTGACCAATTTGGTAACTCTTGGAGCCGTCAAAGTCACTCCTACTAATTGGGCCGTAAGTGTAGTTGTAATGTTCACGGAACCAGGCTTCGACAGCTGTTTCTGGACTCAGTTGGTAGTTATGATTAGTGGTTGAGTACCAAAATAAATTCTCACCAGTTCGGAATCTACCGGATTCTGAAAATAAATATATGTTAAAAATTATTAATTCATTGATATTTGATCGATTCAAAGGATGTGAAATGTTATACATATTCATTATTATTAATTCATATTTATATTCTTGTTTCCGTTGAGAGTATTGTATTATTAACTATGTATTTAAGATGAAATTTAGAGTTCAAAATTGAGATACTTTTAGGTGACATTCTATTGCATGTAGGTAGATAGATAGATAGATAGATAACTCTTTATTTGCACACTAAATTACTTACTTAGAAAAAAAAACTACGTCCTAAGTCAATACAATAAATTTCTGATTAAGTTACCAATCATCAACAGCCTTTAGCAGTCCACTGCTGGACATAGGCCTCTCCTTAGAAAGGATGTTTTGACCTACTATACCACGATGTCCAGATGCGTTGATATAGGGTTTGTTTCAAGATTGTCCTGCAGAGTTTGCTCCCTTAGTCGGCTCTTACAACACCCACAAGATGAATAGGGGTGGTGACAATGCGTATTCTTAATCCGTCACCACACGGACAAATTACCAATGTACCTTAATAATACGTTTAAAAATTGTGAAAAAGTACAATAACTCAACAAAATCTATTTTAAACAAAGAAGAATCTAAATCTTATACTTAAGTAAGGAGTAATTTAAAGTAATAATTACATGTTTAGTTTTCTGTAACTGAGTGATTAAAAATGTCATTTATGTGAATGGCGGGTAACATCACAAGTATTTATTTATATTGCTTTCCTCAGTACCTGAATAATATTCACATAGATACTAAATAGTTTCACTAAATGAGCGGAAAGCACGCTAATAATAAAACTAAGACGGCCATGTTTGACGAAGTGCGTTTATGGAAAGCGTACTTCTATCCTATCTTTTAGATTTTTACATCTTTGATTTATAAACCCTTTATATCATGTTTTGTTTAGTGAGTTGTAATTTATTAACTAACGTGTAGTGATGGATTAAGAATACGGAGGGTCACCACCCCGTGGGTGTGGTAAGAGCCGACTAAGGGAGATAAACTACGCAGGACAATACTGCAAAGGGAAGAAAAATTTGAAACAATCCCTTTACTTTCTAAGGAGAGGTGTATTGCCAGCAGTGGACTATGAAAGGCCGATAATGATGGACTAGTTAATGTCAATGATTGATTCTCAAAGACGTGAAATTCTATACATTTCTATTATTAATTAATATTCAAATTAAGTTAATTAACTAGTGTTTAAACTACGGAATGTTTTAAATATTGTATTAGCAATTTTGTATACACCAAGAATTGTAATAATTCATTGGAATTGAAAGATTAAGTTTTTATTTTAATTTATTGAAAATCTAAATTTTCCGAAAAAAATAATTTCGTGACGCATTTTTTCGAGTTAAGACGTTTAAAATTTTGAGAACAAAGGTAACTAATAACTCAATAATATTTACTTTAAACAATGGGTCTAGCTCGAATAGGCAAGAAAAAAAAACTACTGATTACATACCTATTCAGTTTTCCGTAAGTACAATTAAAAATGTCATTAACATAAATAGCTACTACCATCGTAACTCAACATCATCATTGTGAGTACCTGAATTATATTTACAAACATAGCAACGAGGCTTTGTCAATGACTTACAATGGAAATCTTTGAAAAAATATTTACATGCGCCATGTATCTGGAATACCTACCACTTTTTATTAAATCTAAAACTAATAAAAATACTGTTACTTGCTGTATGAGTATGACACATGACAAATAACATACAGGTTAAATCTGTGGTACGTCTAATCAAATATGTCGGTCGAATTACAAAAGTTCCATTAGGAGCGAAATCAGATTGTATTTAACTTATGGATGCTCATGACTACGGATTATCACCTTAATGAGATGACATCGGGTCTTCGGGGAGGGACACATGTGTATGTTCTGTTTACAGACGATACCTATTGAAGGTTTGAGAAGACACTTGGCCTTCACGAGTCGACACGACTCGTGGAACAGACTGGAAAAATGCCAATAGTGACTGTAAAATATTAGCTGGAAAATCAATAAATCCGTAACTTAATACAATTATGGTCTGTGATTTCCACAGTTAAGTCTCGTTGCATACTTGTAAAAGCGTTACCAGTCCGCTTAATATTGAGTTCCTCTGCTCTTTCTTACAAAGAGAAAGCGAAATAGTATACTATTTATGATCCCAGGTTTCCCGTTAAAGAGCAGGTCTAAAGGACGATGACTAAACCGAATAGTTAAACCAAAAAGAGAACGGATGAGAGATGCTTGCATGTAGCTGAAATGCAAATGTTAGGATAGATGCGTGGTGCGACTTGATGGACATTACGAAAGAATGAATAAATTGCGCTAGTTTATAAAAAATTGAGAACAAATAGTTTATCGTGGCATGAGTGTAGGTTTCCCAAATAATTAAACACAATGAAAACTAATTAATAAATAACATAAAACACAAAATTTGAAATTTAAGACCGGAAGGTGCGTCAAACAATTTATAGGACTTCAAAAGCGTTTTACAAAACGGAAAAATGGTCATGGTAAATGATCAAAAAGAGGTTCTTTTGTTATACGACGGTTTTGATCAATAAAAAGAACTCATTTACCAGTTTAATAATTAGGTTAGCTTAACTGTGATCAGTAGGTATTGCAATGACCTAAATTATCAATATAATTACCTATTATGACAAATACTTACGGACACTCTTATCCGGATTATGCTGTCGCGGGAGCTTGCCTGCGTAGGTTGATGCCTTCACATATAATTCGTGATCCCACATCTGCAACATAACAAAATGTACGGATAAATAACCTGAAGAAGATATTTAAAGTAAAAAAAAAGATGTAATGTTACCGGGACGGGCGTACAGCTCGACGGCCGTGGGGCCTCCGCAATTTAATAATAATAATAATAATAGAAAGCTGAGAAAGAACAAATTTAACATAATAATAATACTAATAATATATTTATTTGTCAGAATATGGGTTTACAGAGTTGTTAGTAGGTACGTTTTAGATGCTAGCCACATTCTACCATTATCTGGTGAACAAAATGTTAGTATAGTGAATTCACTGTTTTTTTTTTACAATTTAATCATGCATTATTTAGTAATATAGTAATAATTATGTCACAATTTCTCATCGTCAAAAAATTCTTTGACACTGTAGAAACATTTATCTAAGAGCAACGTAAATAATTTTCTTTTAAAAACATTAATTGTATCTTCCTAACCTCTAATATCTTTTAAAATATTTATTTTAATGATATGTTAGCAGAGCAATTTTAATCTACATTAAATGCACAACGTATCTAACGTATTTAATTGGATAACTAATAATAACGTATTCTTTAAAAAAGCTTCGTAAATAACCCTTTTTTTGCAATATTTAAAAGATAAAAATGGTTACTGTGGGTTATCCTTAGGAGATAGACATATACCATAGCGGAATTTTTTGTAGATCATTTTAAGACATAAAATGCCGGAGTAAATCATTTTGTTCTATCTCGTAAGGTTTGCAATATAAGTGCACAAAAACACAGGGGACTTTACAAACATCAACAATCACAATCAATCAACAATAAAGGACTTTAGGGGTTTTTATTTTCAAGGGCATTAAATCCCATGAATAATTTTTAATTATTTCACTCAAGTTCGCACTTTCGAATATATTTAAAAATAAAGAAGAATATATGCTCTAACTAAAAAAAAAACAACAAACTTGTGACGTAAAGTTCATGTAACATCTCTACTACTGTCATTCCCATTAATGTACATACAGTATTCCTAAATGGACCTTACCATAGTCTTCATTTCAGAGGCACCTGGCTGTCCTTTCACTTCACCTTTCGCCACCCGAAGCCGCCGTGAATTGTGACCATCGACAAATGCATGAATTTCTTTAGTACTACCAGAAATTTCCACTGCAAAATAAATCAATTTCATTAACAACTAGCTTTTGCTATCTGTAAAAGTAATTTTTCCACCCCTTTCGACCTTTTCTTTCTCAATGAAAGATACCCTGTGTAATTTGCATCAAACACGATGACCGTATAAACAGTAGCTCAGCAAATAAAAACCAACAAACAATGATCTTTATATATATTTTAAAATCAAACACAAATAATTGATTTAAGTAGAAACATACGCGTATACAAAGTGTACAACGTTGTGTATTTTTTTTAAAACGATCGGTAAAGTAGTTTTTGAGATTATAACTAATATATAAAAAAATAAATATAAAGATGTACTCACGTATGCATGTTGCAGATATTAGTAAAGTCAAATAAAGACAGTTAGACTTCATTGTTTCGATTGGTGAAGAGCGACTGTGAAGCGACAATTTCCACATGAAATTTAATAGCGAAACACTCCGTCTTTAGTTATATACTACAACGTATGTAGTACAAGCAGTGATCATAACACTTGAATAAGTAGAGTACGGTTCCGTACATCTACATATACTTATAGTTTACTATCATACAAATATTATTATACTCATAATGGAGAAAGTAATTTCATGCTCTAATATATTCATAAAATGTGCTACTTATCCGATGTACGTTTGTCAGTATACACAATGACTAATTTAATTAATAAATACCTAATACTGTCACTTCAAACATTGATGAATAAATTAATATCAGATCTTAATACAAATAATAATTAATAATAGTTTTTGATTATCAAATTAAAAAAGAGGTTTTAAAATGGAGAGCGTTGTGTGTTGGTGTCACTAAGCGAAGTGAAATCTCTAGAAACATGTCTCTACCTAGTTTAGTTCACGTAAATTTGAAGAATGATTCAATTATCATCGTATGGTACTTATTTATTTATTATTAGTATACGGAAAACGGAACATGTTATCTACAGATAACATTAATATTTGAGTATGCAGCTCGTACCGTTGTTTGTTTCGTGAGAAAATGTTGTGATCCCTTCTCATAATCTAGCAAAATGTTCTGACAAAAGCATAAATCATTATCTATGTTTTGCGCTTTGTATAGGTCAGTTTATAAGATCTACCTAGTTCTTTAGTTTGTTTATATTTGTTTGCACGATCTCGTGCAACAAAATTACTTTTTCTAGAAAGAACCACATATATAAATTGTAATTAATTTTACAGACTTTCTTAAAAGCAATTGTCTTTTATACAATATACCTAACTTAGTTAAATGGAGATCTTTTTCTTAAATCAGACACATTTAGTAATTTGTAAGTGAATGGTCGTCAAATTAACTCAGGGATCTCTATAAAATAAAAATTATGAGTAATTGAACGGTTAGTCATAGACAATAGGGAATAAGGTTAAATAACCCAAAACTCTTATCAAAAATATACGTGTATTGGAAAATTCTAAACCACAACTTAATTTCCTCCAGTTAAGCGCACGGACACGCTTAAAATGACGCATATGTTTTACAAATGGTTTCTTAGTATTCAAAAATGTAACACAAATTATTCTAAGGCATTTCATTTTAACGTCAACAAAACTGTTAATATGCAGTATTAAGATTAGGGTTGCTAATTTTTACAAGAAATAATTTTATATGATTAGCATTATAGCATTATATTTATATTATATAGCATTCCTATCTTGCAAAATCGTGGCACTGTATTCACATTAATTTATTCGAATATTATAAAGAGGCAAGACAACAATTGTATGTTCTGGGAGTAGTCTATGGAATTACTGATGCATTAAATTTCTTTTACTTAAAAGAAGACTTGTTATCCCTGAATTGGTCGTTTTTTAATTGAAAAAAAAAATAACTTTAATTAGGAGACCATTAAGATGATCTGATAACTTAAATGATTTGTACTCTACATAATTTGAAAAATATTTAGGATTTAGCGGCGAAATGTGGACTCGTACATGACTTCCTAAAACCAAACACTCCATTGAGTGTTTGGTTTTAGGAGCTAGCTAGCTAGCTAGCTCTTGACCGTATGACCCTGTAACGAAACATTTTTCGTTACAGGGTCATACGGTCAAGAGCTCAATGTTTTTATCTCAATGGTCTGGTTTCCATAGTGCAGGCTCTGCTTAGATTGGAATCAAACGGCCGCAGCCGTGTATAAGGTGTCTCAATTATTGGAACCAAGTTCCTTATCTACCAAAAAGTGAAAGGAACTTCGTTCCGACCGGAGGTCCATAGACTCCTCACGCCTTGATTAATAATAACCTCACACATCTCACACACGGCTGTCTGATCCCAAACTAGGAAGAGCCTGTACTATGGTAACCAGACTGCTTATAAACATACTTATATATTTCTAAATATATATTATAGATAAATTACACCCAGACACAGAACAGACGATCGTGCTCATCACACTAATATTTGGGTGGGAATCGAACTCACGACCTCCGGCTTAGCAGTCAGGGTCACTAACCACTAGACCAACAGGTCCGTATTGTTACTCAAGAATAAAAAAAAAAATTTTTTTTCCTTCTTTTTACTTTATTTTGTCAACCGCGCCTAAAGAACGGACGTTGAAGTTCAGTGCTTAGTTTTTGAACAGCAATGGGCAACCGAAATTACTAGTATTCCCGTTAACCCTTCGCGCTAAGCTAAATTGCTTGTGTTAGGAGTGAGTTCACGTCGGTAGTGTCCTAACCACTAGGCTACCGCCGCTACAGGTGCCTTAGTGTAGACACCATGATATTCACATCATCATCACATTTATTAGTCCACTGCTGGACATAAGCCTCTCCTTAGAAAGGAGGGTTTGGCCGTATTTACCACGCTGGCCAGACGGGGTGGTATAGTCATGTTTTCTTTCTCTTTGCAGTGCTATTGTCCTGCGTAGTTTTCTGCCTTAGTCCTTTATTAATCCTTCCCCACACACATAACTCCTATGATTATCAACCGATAAATTGGTACTGTTAACGCTAATTATTAAGTAGGTTAGTCATAAGTCAATTCCATTGTTAAGATTAACGTCCTTACAAACATGGAATTGTTCGTATGCGTTGCCCCAGCGAAAAAAGTTCGAATTTCATTATTAGTATGGTAAGTAAACATTTGTGCATCTGACCATTGAGGAGTTATTCACGAAAAACTGTTTCACTTTGTGGCACTTTTTTATCCTATAGACGTAGAAGAAAAAAAAATGGTATCAAAAATTAGTGAATAACGTGAGGTAATTGTGTATGTTTAAATGAAATTTGTGCGTCAATAAACTGCGAAGATATTCAAGTTTCCTCTGCGACATCGTTTGGCAATTTACTAGATTTCATATAAAACGCTTTTCTAGAGAGGTGTAGATTTTTTCATACGTTGTTTTGAATTTGTTTATACTGTTTGTAAAAACGGATTTAAAAATCATTATTATTTAAAGTATCTTTTCCTTCAGCTGCCTTTTTTTTTGTAATCACTCTTGCGTCGAATATAATATGAAATATTAATGAAATAATGGGATCACCCATCATGTTTTACATATTTAATGGTGATCCATTAAAACAAGATCATTGTTATGTTAAAAAAAATATTTCGTAAAATTTATAGGTCCGTACCTACCTGCCTGTATTTAAGGAAACATCATAGTGGAACTAAGTAAATTATATTTAATTATCCTGTTATTTAACCATAGGATGACGTTACTGCGCACACTTATATCTAGGTAATAGAAATTTTAGTATATAATTGGTAATTCCGCTAATACAAGTAAACACAGACGACTTTCTTGCACCTCTTGCAGTTTCATTGGTAAATCTATTGATAACGACAATCTAATTATGCAAATGAATCTATTGATTGACAAGGACATTCTAATTATGCAAATGATTCCATTGATTCATTTGCATAATTAGATTGTCGTTACAATACAATTAAATACCAATTGAGTCTGACTTTGTTATAACTTATCAGCATGGGTAACTTTGCAGAAAGTAAACATTTCAAAATTAAACCAGTAGGTGTGAAGAGTTGTATGAAGTTTTGATTTTATATTATCATAGTAGCGATTGTTCAAATTCCTTCATTTTGCTTCTGTTGATCTTTGACAAATTTGGTCATTCCATATTTTCTGGCATTAAAGTATTCTATGTGTTACTCCTTACTCTCTACTCTATCTATGTGACAAATTTTATCCAGATTCGTTCAGCCGTTCTAGCGTGATTCAATCCAAACTGTCGCATTTACAATATAAGAAAATAGTTAGATTAAGATGTACGTATTACCACTGCAGTCTGCACCGTTGTACACTGTTCTATTAACTACATACCTGTCTAATAATGCGGCTCGTAATTTTCGACATCTGAAACAATATTTAAAAGAGAGCCTTTCGACAACCCTACTGAGTTTTAACCTAGCGTCTTTCAGTTGACTGTAAAGCTAAATACAACAACAATAACAGATAATGCCATGTTTAATCATTATGACAGGTGTTGGACGTGCTTTTCACATAAACTTCTATATCTCTATTTATTATTGATGGTTAGTACTTGTTCTCGATATGTTTTGGTTATTCTCCGTTGTCTGCTAGCGCTGTGAAGTGTTCAGATAAGTATGCAATAGTCCAAGGAATCGCAAACTTTTTATGTTGCGTTAAAATCTGTTTGCGGCCCCTTGTTAAACAATATACCCGCAAATTGAATAATTTATTGTTTGAGACAAAGAAAACCCCAAGAAACAGAATATTAGGTAATTACATTTAAAAACAGTAAGTACCTATCTATGTCCTCACAAATAATGAGACCGACGAGTTTGCTTTCATACATATGTTAGCTTCACTTGTAACGAGGTAAGTAAACAAATCTCGGAATTCAATTTTGACCTACTTCTGATTGTCAATCGTATCGAAATGAAACTTTGTATGTACGAAGTATAGTATGGATATTTAGTATAGAGTTTATATTTAGCACATTATGACTCCCTCGTGCTTTCGCTTGCACTCCATGTAATTCTATGAGTGCACGAAATAAGTGGTAAGTACTTACAAGTTTATATGAGATCTAAGTACTTCGAGTAGTTTCTCGTTTGTAAGGTTTTTTTTGGAACGAAACTTCTTATCGCTTCTTATAGCGGCAATGACCCACAAACCGGTGGTTTTAGGTGCAGGGTATGCGGTTGAACCTGTCGCTCTGGAATTGGCTTACATAGCCAAGGTGTATGGCTACGGGACAGTGACTAAATCGTCTGGTATTCATTTGGAGACCCACTTTCTTGCCCTTTTTTTACTTTAAAAAAAAGACAACTCCCGCATTAGGAATATATCCTGTGTCGCGGGGCCTTTACAAACATACATGAAACGGACACAAAGAACACCCAGACTCAGAACAACAATTTGTTAATCACAGTGTCGTCCCATGTGGGGTTAGAACCCACAACACTCGGCGTAGGAGGA